CTTCTTCAACACAAGCTTGCATCTTGCAGCTCTTCCAAGCTTTCCATTTTGAGAGCTTTTGTATCCAAGTTTACAGGTAACTCTTGGCCTTGATAGGTTTTCCATATAGTTCACCAAGCCCAGAGGTTCATAGGCTCTCTTTTACATGTGGAATATAGAGAAGAATTTTAAGTCAAACATCAATGCTTGTATTCACTTGACTATTAAAAGATTCGTTAAAGAGCTTCGTTTTGCTTAGAAGCTTATCTTAGAAACAGTTTGATGAAAACATGGACTCATTTTCTGGTAGTCCTTTGCTTGAGAATGTGCTGTGATTATTTATCACAGCATATATTGAGGGAAGAGTGTGAAAATTGCTAATCAAATGTGTACTCATCGTCTCTCCTTGGAGAATTGCACTTGGAAGACTCATTTGGAAATGGTCTTGTACTTGCCTGGAGAGAGAAGAACTCGGTTTTGGGCTTATTATGGGTCATAAGCAATCGATTCGGATAGATGAACCAAGAGATTGTAAACTACAGAAAATTTATTGATTTATCATAGGCATGCCAAAGTTCTTTCAGTGAACTATCAAAGTCTTCAGGTATGCTTGTCATTTTCAGAAAAACAAAGTAAAGAAAAGGGAAAACCACAACTCTATGCACCTATGTTGCTGATTAAACTATAGTTATGAAGGAAAATAAATATATAGTGAACCTGTTTGATGAGAATTGTTGCAGCTTGTCTAGCTAAGAAAATGATTAGTTGACTTGCCTTGCGAATTCTGATGAGTCTTTTCTGTGAAACAGACTGGTTTTTTGTTAGAAAAGGGAGCGTTCAGTCCTGAATGGAGGGGGTGGGGAGAGCTCAAACTCCAGGCCTAGCATGCAGGATGGGGATGGCATGCTACCATAAAAGATCAAGGCTAACCTAATTAGATTAGAAAAAACATGATAATCATCAGTGTGAACGTTGCATTAATGACCTTTTCCTCCTTGTATTCATCTATAATGCATTAGGGCAGTGATTTGTGTGACATTTCTTATATTCTTCTTCCCTCCATGTTTTAAGCGCAAAGATGATTTCAATCTGTGAGATGATGCGTCGAAGCGCAAATGTTTGACATTACAAACTGGGCTAACGAAATGGGAGCTTCCAGGAATATCCCACTTGCTGGTGACACCAGAACGCCTCTGACACACACGAAGAAAAGAAAGGAAAAAAGCTCGAATAGTCTGTCATTATAGCATACACTGAGTTGAGATATCCATCAGTAGCTTCACCAGCCCTCACAAACACTCCCAGCAGAAATTAACTGCAGATAACATAGCTAACACTTCTGAGCTGATTTATTTCTACTCATTAACCTCACCTCATGACGCGGGGTGCATATCGACAAGGAAGCAGTCCAGACGTGTCAAATAAGATATATCAACAATGTATAACTTTTGATCATTGGATATCAGATTGAAAAATCCTAGTTATTTCTTTTTCTGTACGGGCGTTGCGTCTCCTCCTCGATAATTAGGTTTTGAATCTCGTGCGTTATGCATTTGGTATCCATCTTGTTCTCCTAATAATACTGTGACGTCATTGGAGACATATCAGCTTTTTCTAAGCCACCGTGAGCAGAGAAGCAGATCAATTAGTTCATTTTCCCTCATATAATGGCAACTGATCGATCGCCCCAGCTCAATCTTTCAAGCCACTGATCTGATACTCTCATATGATTCACTATTCCAGATGACTTAGCAAATTATGATATAATCTCTTGCATCACTCAATTCATTTAATAGAATGATCAACAGAAGTTGCAGAAAGCCAGCCATTTCTGCCAGGCCTAGAGTATAAATCAACCTTGAACAAAAACTTGATTAGACTGAATAATAGGTAAATGAACTGATCAAAACAACAACAAAAACTTTCAGTTCTTGCAAGAGCTTGCTCGGAGAGGGCCCTGCCTGAAAAATAATGAAGGTAGAGCACAGAAATGTAACAGGCCATTTCCCTTTTTTCACATGCTTTGACATAGCTTTAGGGAATGTGAAGTATAAATTATCCAAGCAAGCACTTCATGGATGGGAATTAAAATGCTGCAATAAAAACTTTGTAAAAAAGGGAAAACTTCAAGGTACAAATCTCTGTTACGATGTTCAAGAAAAGGAGCATCTTGTTTTTCTTTTTTCTTTTGCTGATGGATTAATTGCTTTTGCCTTCAAGTTCTTTCACTCAATTTCCAAACTCCTCCATTTCCCATGCAATAGGAAAACCACATAAAAGCTTGAACTCTGGCTTGGTCGTGTTGGGAATTCCGTCCGGTGATGTACTGATATTTGCTCATAGGAGAGCCAAGCACACTGACACAATATTTAACGTGGTTCGGCAAAACCGCCTACATCCATGGGAGAAGTCAATATATTTAGAGATAGAGAAAGAATACAAAACAAATACATGGAGGAGGAGGATTACACCCTCTCATACTCAACTCTCAACTCTCTTTGCTGCACTTGCAGCTGCTGCAATGGCAGCAAGGCTGCTGCCATTGCAGCTCTCTCTTCCTCTCTACTCTCTTCACATTTTCATAATTCTCTTCACTCATTTTGCTCTCTTGCATATGCCTCTATTTATAGGCATTCATGGAGGCTTTTCTTCAACAAAGGTGGCTGCCAACTCCAACTCTTCTTCAACAATGGTGGCTGCCAACCTTTGACATCTTGGATGAGTGTACATGGTTGGTGCAATAGCAAATGGTTGTTGCACATTAATGGCAACCAACCTAACAACCTTTTCATTTAGCATCAAAGAATGGCCGATCCATTTCAGCATTTACTCTTGTGCGAAACTCTATGGTTATGAAAGAGAAATACAAAGTCAATGGCGAAAACTTGACACCATATGAGGTTGCAAAGAAGCAATCTAAAATGGTGGGAGCAGAATTCTCAGGAGAACCAATTCCGAAGGGGAAGGTATGTTAAGTAATAAATGTACAAGGAAACTACTTTGGCCTAGATGAAAAAAGCAGCAATCATTCGACTGCTACAGACATCAAATCAGTAGGCATTTAGCTAAATGGTGCTTCTATAAAATACATTTCAAGTTTTTTTGTTTTCTTTTCCCTTGAATCATATACAAATCAGCAAACAAAAAATATCTTTCTCCAAATTTTCTTGGTGTAGGACAACGATGCAGAGATGCTACAAACAGAGGACAAACCAGATCATGGAGTGGTATCCCATTTTCTTTCATTCATTTCCTTTTCTTTTATGAGATAACTAGTTCCATAGTTTATTTTTTCGGTTCTTTTTCCTAAAACCATACGCATAAAAACATCTTTTGGTTTTTTGATGTAGGGAAACCAAGATGGTCCAGATGACAGAAAAGGAGGGAAGGGAAAACTAGACTATTATGGAGTTGTATGTCTTCTTCTTCTTCTTCTTGTTGTTGTTGTTGACAAAAATGGAGGCAAGGGAAAACTAGATTAATGGTCTTCTTCTTCCGGAAGGAAAAACTAGATTATTATGGATTTCTATGTCTTCTTCTTCTTGACAAAATATAGAGGAAAGGGAAAACTAGATTATTATGGATTTGTATGTCTCCTCCTCCTCCTCCTCCTCCTCCTCCTTGAAGAAATTATCCTGGACACTTCCTAACTAGCTAAGAAGAAAACTTCTGACTGCATATTTTCTTTGTCAAATAATTTATAGGTTACATATCTCTTTTATCTGTTGTTTTCCAGATGATGACATTATCGATCTTGCATTTTTGGGCCAGCCCTAAGAGATCCAAAGCAGAATATTTCCGCATTAAGGGCAGACCTCTACCAAAAGAGGAAATCAAGAACAGGATTGATTCTCTTCTTGTTGTAGCCGTACTCGTCGCAAGTGTAACATTTTCTGGTGTGCTCCAACTCCCTAAAAGTACAGACCAGCCTGGAAGTAGAGCTTCTAACATCACCACCAACAATATCCACAATATCCAGAACCAGGTGATATCAGAAATAAATGAAGGCATCCTAAGGAATGTTTATATTTATATTGACATGGTAGCCTTGAATGCCTCGGTCATGGCATCGATAATCCTTTGTTGGGCTCATCTATATGATGTCAAAGTAGCAGCACATGTAATCTGGGTGGCATCGATTTTAACAGGTGGTGCTATCTACATGATGTGCACAGCATTCGTCTTTGCCGTTGCTATTGATGTATGCAAAAACCTTGCCTTCTTCGTTGTCACCATTGCCGTCGGTGGAGTGCTTTTTCTTTTCCAAACCGTGGTTTCTATTCCATTGATTATTCCGCCGAGTGCCAACCAAATCATTGAAAGAATTGCTTCACCTTACATCTATCTCCTTATTTTCTACTTATATTTCCTTCTGGACTGGTTGTATTGTAAATTGAAGAAAAAAGAGAAGGCACAACAAACAACGTCTTCTTGATATGATGCTCTTCGGATCAGTCGATTGTGTGTGTTTAATCATCGTAATAATTTGATGTTGTTGATTGTATTAATTATTTGATGTCTGTATTGTTGTCATTATTTGAGTTTATTCAATTCCTTGGAAATGTACGGCTCCCGGTGAGCATTTTCTTTATTGAATAAAATAAAAGAAATGTTTTCTACTAATATAAGTAGTTTCTTTATCCAAATTAATTAAGGTGAAATTATGTTAGCATTCCATGCAAAATTTAATAAACAATATTTACTGTCCGTGAGATGCACTTTCTTGATCCGAAGTTCAGAAAACAAAAAATGTTTTCTTCGTAATAAAAATGAACAAATTAACAAAAATTTAAGCTTGCTAGCTACAAAGAAGAAGAAGAAGAAGAAGAAGAAGAAGGTCGTGTATACTTTGTTTTTCAATTCATTCTTTAGGTGTAAAAATCCAACTTTAAAAGTAAATGATTAGTCATGCACTTAAAAGCTTAAATACTTTTTGAAGTAGACTCGCCTAAGATATTGCACTTAACATCTGTAGCCAAGGTCAATCAAACTTGATTCAATGGTCTCTTTTTAATCGAGTTTCAATTACTGTCATTTATTTATTAAGGTTTAGAAGTGGGGGAAGTGTTTTGTTTATCAGTTTCTAAGGTGAGTAAAGATTTGTTTTAAGGTTGTATAACAATTTATACATGTCTTTACAAGCTAAAACAAAGGAGAAATGAGGTTTGGGAGGCCTCATCCGATGGCCTCCAATTCTTCAGAAACCACAATGCAGCTCCCAAACAGCACTAGGGCTCGCATTTTATTTTTATTTTTCCTCTTAAGCTGGCGTACAGGGCCCAAAGGCATGCACTTGTTTATTCTAGACCCTTGCGCGTGGGCCTATTGCACACCGAGCCCATCTTTCCTCTCTTATTTTCCTTCTCTTCTTTACACTGTTATTTTTTAAAAATCAAAATTCACAATGAAAAAAAAACTCGTTTTTATTTGTATAATTTTCATTAAATAATGAATCTATTTCCATCATATGCGCATTTTCATGACGATAACGAAAATAAATCTCCTTGGTTTGATTTTATAAATAAATAAACAGTTTCATTTATATGATATAAATTAAAAAAAAACATATTATTTAAATTAATTATTTTTTGGCATTATTGAAAAACTGCATGTGAGTATGAGTGGTACAATATATTTTTGATATGATTGAAATTTATTGGGATGATATGCGAACATTTTATATATAATAAAAAGTATTGTTATTTTCTCAATTACAAATAAATTTTCTCAATTGTTAAGAATAAAAAAATAAATTTATATTAACTAATTACAAGTGTTATATCAATTTACAGTATTTTATCAATTATTGTCTCATTTTCAAAAAGGATGGGAGCCTTTAAAAGCTAGCATGACCCATATCTCTAGTTTACTTAAATAAAACATTTAGTTTTTGTCCATACCATATAAATGAAATGCTTCCAGGAGCTTTTATGGTGACATTGACCAAAAGAAAAATATATTAGAATTGAAAGATGAAATTTGTGTCTATTGTGTTTAAAAAGTAATTGTTTTTATTTGATCATGTTTACAAAAATGTTTTGACTTACAATGATTTTTTTATCTATTTTAGTTTTGATGGTAGTTTGACTTATAATATCACATGACTTTTTCTATCAAATGAGCCATCATTTTTATTTTTTTAATGAAATCATGTGTTTTTTTATGTTCATGATATGCATTTATGATTATTTTTTTCTTTGCAAATAATACATTTATACGAAGACACCCTATGCTTTCAGGAATACTAAAATTTTTATAAATTCACAAAACCTCTACACTAAAGAACCAAGAATTCCTTGGTGCATTTCCTTTTCTTAAAAAAACTATGCATGCATGATCTTATGTTTTCACAAAAGTTTCTGGAAAAATCAAAGTTTTAGTACAAAAACATAATTTAAATTATTGTTTGTTCTAATAGAAAAGTTCTGAAAATTTAAGTGATCTCTTAAAAAGGTGACAATACACCTAGAAAAACCTAAAGAACAATCTAAACACTATGAGATGACTTCAAAGTTGAATTTTAATTGAATAAATAATGAGAAACCATTTTTTATGATCATATAAAACAAAGCAAAACTTACCGATTTCAAATGGGAAAAAGTCATCTTTGATAATCTTTTTGCATAGTTAAATATATTCTTTATAGTCCCTAATAAGCCTACTTTCTCTCGTAAGTAGGGTAAGTAGGGCACAATTGTTATAACTTTTTTTTTTGTTATTTTAGAAAAAAAATATGGCAAAGGAAGAGAACAAGCAGCAGAGTTGGTCTCTGAATTACTTCTCTTTTTTATTAGGCTATTGGCCGTATGCAACACATATAAAATTTTTTTCCTTTTGATATATGTGTATGTTTGTCACATTATGTTGAAAAATCAAGTATTTTAAATGTGAGATTGATATTTTTTTTACAAAAAAAATAAAATTCAGACCTTAAAATAAATATGCTAGAAAATCATGAATCTTTTTCTCTTTCTTTTACTTTTTTCAGGAAAAGAAAAAAAATTGAAACTAGTAGGTCCATCCGAGTCACTTACCCAATCAAATGACCCGACTGGACATAAAAAGGGCTTAGCTACTATGCAATGAAGGAAAATGCATGCAAAGAGACCTAATTACTATTTAAGTGGATTATAATTTATTTGAATAGTAAAAACAAATGCATGCAAAGAGGTGAAAAGAATAGACCTGGCAGAAGACAAAGGAGCTATAAAGAGTTGAAGGCTTGCTGGCTTATTGGTCCGTGTTCGTCTGTTTCAACCCTTTTCCTTTTGTTCTATATTTGTGTCAATTTCTTGTTTTTTGTTTCCTTTGCATCTTCGTCCCTCTTTTTATACTAGTTCCTGCACTTTCTTCTCCTCTATTCTGCATATTTTATTTGCAAAAAATGGAGCAAAGACCAAAAGGTAGTCTCTGTTACTTTCTTATTTCTTCTCTTCTCTTTTTTTTTTCTTTTCTACTGCCAGCCTTTTCGATCTCACAATAAGGCAAGAATAGAGGAAAGAAACTCCCTCTGTTCTTTGTTTTTCTTTTTAACACTGTTTTTCTTTTCGTTTCTCTTCCATTTTTTTTTGTTCTCCCCAGCAGAAAAGGTTTATATAGCCTAATATGCAGCTCTATTTAGAAAACAAGTATTACATTAATTAGGGTGTAATCTCAAATGATCAAATAAAGTGAAAAATATGAAATTAAAATATTTTGATTATGATTTTGTTATCATCAATGATTTTTTTCCAGTAATTTAGAGGATGGTATGACTCCTTTCTATCCTCCCATAGTTGGCAATGTGAGGCCAACTGTTTCCTTTGGTATGAAGCAGAAAAAATGTGGTATGCAGCTCCAAAATCAAGCGTGACGATAAAAAAAACTAGTAGGAATTTACAGAGAAAAAAGGAAAGAAATCAGCTATGATGGTTAGTTTAGAGAAAAAGGAAAGAAATCAGACGAGGGAGATACTATTTTCATAATGCAAATGGACAGTATTATGTTAATTATATTTTCATGAAAGGGTTGTGCGTAGTACCGTGTCGTCTTATTTAAAAATAAGAGCAAAACGTGATCAATTCCCTTATTTTCCTTTTCTAATCTAATCCTCGCTCTTCAATTTCTTCATCTAACAACAATTTCTTTTAATTTTATCTTCAATCAACACCCTTATTTTGACACCTTTTCCATTTAGTCCTTGGTCCAAAAAAGGGACTTCAAATCGGCCTATAATTGGTCTTCAAACTTTAAGCATCTTGCAATTGTGTCCCTGCAAACTCAGGCAAAAATCATTCTCACGGTAGGATTCTCTACTTTCACACTAGATATTCAATCAGGAATATCTTGAGCTTTTGATATTGAAATCAAGCGATTCAAAAGCCCATATTCATCTACGCATCTAGAACTACAACTTTTATGAAGGATTTAAAGTGATATAAAATTGATTTAAAGAACAAAATCTGGCCACAATCTGGTTGGTCAAAAAGATTTCTTGATCTAACAATACCAAACATCCAAATCTGACTGAGAGTATGTCATAAAAACAGTGAACCCTAGGACCCAATAAAGGTAAAGGTCAATTATTCAATATGTCATGAGTGACAGAATATAACTAGGATGATCAATTATCATATGAAACCAAGTTAGAATTAGTGTCTAAGTTGGAAAAAAAATTATGACAATAGCATAATCATTTTTTTTAGTACAAATTATGAAGGATTTATCCAATCTTAAAAACAAGATAAAGAAGGAATAAATTTAGCATTATGAAGACTTCTAGTCAATCTAAAAAACCTTAATGATTTTGGAAACAAAAAGAAAGGACAAAGAGGATGAAAAATAGCTCAAAGAGGGTTTAACAAACATTTTTTCTTTCTCTACTTTTGTTAATCTTGTAGCAAACATGAGTTAAACTCATGTACTCGATTCAATAGGGGTATACACCATCTTCAATACTTGGGGTCAAAAAATGAATAACAACTCATGGCAAAAAAAATTAGTTTTTACAAAAGTTGATGTAGGAGTTTTTTTTTTGAAAAAATAGATATTTTTCTTTTCTAATTTTATTTATTTTATATTTTTATTATGTTTTTTTAGGGAATAGCTTTTCTACTTTATTTTTTTATTTAGTATTAGAAAATTAAATAGTACTATGGTTTTCTATTTACTTTTTTTTATAAAAGTTCACAATAGTTTTTTATAAGTGGGAATTCAGATGAATAAAAATTAAATATTTTGGATATCTAGTTGTAGTGTTTTTAATCTCTAAAAATTAACTTGTAATAAATATCATTATCATTTACTCTCATTGCAAAATAAGTATTAAATATTGAGTGTTACATCAAATTTACAACATATATTCTCATGAGTGTGATTTTTTGTGTGTGAAGTTATGCATGCATTTTATGTTTCATAAAAAATGCATACATTTTATGTAAGAAACATTGTTGTTTTCTTATCAATTCTTAGGAAAATAAAAATAAAATCATAGTCTAAATTAACAATTTTATATAATCATGGCTTAACCATGTTAAACAAAAATTATATTGAACATTATAATCATGTATAACAAGAAAAAATATAAAAAAAATTATTTGCATAATTATCATTAAATAATGAAATTATTTTCAAGAGATGCATAAATAATTAAAAATAAAAATGGTTATTATCATAATTTTAAAATTCAACTCGGGAGTCAACTTGGGATAAGATTTAAGTCATATATCAAGTTAATCATTAACCTAAATCAATATAAAAATAAAAATAAAAATTATTATAATTTTAAAATTTAATTTAAATATCAGCTCGGAGCTGAAACTAAAACAAGTGTAACTAAATAGAAGTGTCACATTAATTTTACTATTTTTTCTTTGTGTTAGGTCCGTTTTTTCCAAACATTATGCAGATGTTTTATACATAAAAACATTGTTGTTTTCTCAATTGTTAGGAAAAAAAAACACTCTTGGTTCAATTTAGCAAATTTATTTAATAATGGTGTAATCATGTTAAGAAAGATTACACCAGATATTATAATCATTAAATAACAAGAAAAAGGATAATTTTCTCTATTTTCATAATTATCATTAAATAACAAGGTTATTTACAATTAGAGATGCACAATTCCATATCGCTCTTTTATTTTCTTTTTAAGTAAATAAATAGTTAGATTTCAGGCATGGCAATATAAGTTAAGGAATGAATTGCTTTTAATAAACAAAAATAGTAGATAGGTTACACATCATATTTTATCATGATCGAATACAGATTTTTCAGGTTATACATAACATTTTATATATAAAAAAACACTATTGTTTTTTATAATATTTATCAAGAAAATAAAAATAAAGTCATACTCTAAGTTAGCAACTCTATCAAATCATGTTTTAATTATGTTAATCAAATATTAAAGTAAATAACATAATTATCACAAGTGAGTTTTTTCAGACGTTATGCTTACATTTTATATAAGAAACATTTTCTTTTTGTCAATTTCTAGGAAGAAAAATAAAGAATATCTCTAAGTTAGAATAATTATCCTATTTGAAGAAAAAATGTATGTAATTAGACGAAAGGTTTGACTAAATAACTTAATTATCCTGTTTGAAGGGAAATTGTTTTTTAGTTGCATAAGTATCGATAGTAACAACATGATTTTTTTTTAATGTTTTGAGAATAATTTCATTTCAAACATGGCAATATAATTTGAAACTAAAGTGAGTTACTTTGTTAAAAAACAAATTACTTTGTACAATGCAAACAAGTTGATGCAGGAGTTTTTTGTTTTTATTGAAAAAATAAATATATTTTTTTTCTAATTTATTTTTTTATATTTTTCTTATGTTTTTTTTTGGGCATAACTCTGCTACTTTATTTTTCTTTTAGTATTAGAAAATTAAATATTATTGTAGTTTTCTATTTTTTTTATATAAAAGGTCATGATAGTTGTTTACAAGTGGAGTTTCGGATAAATAAAAATTAAATATTTTAAATATCTCTTCATAGTTATAGTGTTTTTAATCTTTAAGAATTGACATGTAATAAATATAATTATAATCATTGCATAATAAATATTAAATATTGAGTTTTACATCCAATTTACAATATATTTTTTCATGAATACAATTTTGTTTTTGAAGTTATGCATACATTTTATGTTTCATAAAAAAATGCATACATTTTATGTAAGAAACATTGTTGTTTTCTTATCAATTGTTAGGAAAATAAAAATAAAATCATAGTCTAAATTAGCAATTTTATATAATCATGGCTTAACCATGTTAAAAAAAAATATATTGAATATTATAATCATTGTATAACAAGGAAAAATATATAAAAAAATTTATTTATACAATTATCATTAAATAATGAAATTATTTTCAATAGATGCGTAATTTCATAACGCTAACAAAAAGAAACTCCTTTTTTTTCAGTAAATAAATACTTCCATTCCAACATGACAATATATTCACAATGGTGTGGGAAATATAATAAGCATTTGCTAAGCACAAAAAAAAAAAAACGATTCTTCCTATATATGGTGGGTGAGTGGTTTTGAAGATTCAGTATGCAAATTTTAGAGTTGTTTGTAATTATTGAAGTTATGCATTTTTATTGTTCGAGAACATAATAATGATTGTGTTTTAAAATATTTTTTTATTTAAAAGCATATTAAATAATATTTTTTATTTTTTAAAATATTATTTTTATATTAGTGCAAAAAAATCAAAAAATAATAAAAAAATATAATTTAAAGTAAAAAAGTAAAATAAAAATTAATTTTTTTAAATACTTATAAAATAAAAAAAACAAATAGATTATAAATGACATACTTGACACAACCTGAACATTGTAATTAGAATTGAAAGGAAAATCATGAAAGATGGAAAACCGAGGACTTGAGATAACACTTAAGGGGACTTAAATTCTCACACAAGGAGAAGAAAAATATAACTTATAATTTTTTAAACAGGCACTAAACAAATCTACTTTGGAAAGGTAAAGAAACCCTAAAATAGTTAAAAAAAAAAATTAAATCTAAAATTATCTAAGAAAGTACTAAGAATTCAAAAACATATTTTTCTAATCCTAATTCGAAAATCTTTCAAACTTATCTAGTTATATAGGGTATAAGATATGTAGAACATCCTGTCTAAATTAATCTGAGCATAGTATAATTGTGCTTATTTTTGTTTTTTTAAAAAAACTTGTTTGACAAGTAGAAACTTTTTGTCATCTTAACCATAGAGATATTTGCTATACATTCGATATTCCATGTACTGATGCTAGAAATCCAAATATATAGCTCACTACCGGACCAAAACTTTATGCTTTATGCTTAATGTGATAAAAGTATTATTAAAAAAAAAGAGGATAATATTAAAATAACCTGTTCACTCCACCGTCGATGCCTCTATGTTGCACGTTCATCACAATCTCTATTTAAAAAGAAAATAATGATTCTCTAAAAATAACTTATAATCGTTTAAATAGTCACTCAACAAATCTAATTTGGAAAGGAATACAAAACCTACAATAGTTTTAAAACATCTAAAATTATCTAAGAAAATACTAAAAAAATTTAAAAAATATGTTCTAACCATAATTTAAAAGTCTTCCCGATCTCAACGTAGAACATCTTGTTTAAATTTAAGAGTGGTCCAAATATTATGCTTATTTTATTTAAAAAATTTTGTCTGACTTTATGCTTGATATGATAACAGTATTAAAAAAAAGAAGTAATATTAGAACAAACCCCGTCACTCTACCTTGGAGGCCTATGTGTTGCTCGTTCCTCACAATTTCCATTTAAAAGTAAAAGAATGATGTGAAAGAATAAAGTAGTGCAAGGAGAATATGCTTTCATGCGAAGAGAGAGAGAGAGAGAGAGAGAGACAAATAAAAAAGAGTTCTCTTTGCATGCTCTTGATGCAGAGAAGTTACAAGGACAAGAAAATTTCATAAGCGAAAATGATTATAGATATTAGCTATAAATTTGTAATTAATTTATTCCTCTAAAAAAAATTAGAGCTATTGAAATATTTCTTCTAAAAGATTTACAAGATGTTTTAAATAAGTTAGAAAATCCTACATCTATTAAAAAAACAATTAAGACTCTCAAAGTATAAAGAAAATTAGGATAATAAATTCAAAAAACTAAAAAAAAATAACAAAATTAATCAAGACAATAATTTATAGGTCTAATTCTAGAAGATATAATGGTCCAATAAGTGTCGAAGCAACCCTTTTTAATAAAATTATTAATAAAATCACTTAAAAATATTTAAACTTAATTTAACAAATAGATCTCTCGTCAACTCTATTTTAAGCTATTATCATAGTCTAACATAAAAATAAAATTCTTTTTGCATTTAGATTTTTGCTACTATTCCATAAAATATATATGTTAGCCATTCAAATAATCTGCCTAAATCAATATGTCTAAAAAAAAATTCTCCTCTAGTTATAAAAAATTCCCCATTCAAATGCTAACTTGTAGTTTTTACAAGCGAGGCCGAATCAACAATTCTCTTAATTTCGTCTAATCATGGGAAGGGTAAGTACTCTTAATTGGTATCATTGCTGGCGAATACTTGTCCTGGCATCTTCTATCAGCTGGTTCCTCTCGAGTTGAGACAAGGTATTGATGCAGGTGAATCAGAATGAAACTCACTTCACCTCGGATTCTATTCATCTATAGCCTACGGGTCACCTTCTATAAGTAGAAGACCAGCTTGGTGGCAACAACAAAGCTAATTCAAGAAATAAATTGTCACCGTTGCACTAAAAACCTTCTAAGAACCTCTCGCTGCCACTTTTGCAACAATAGAGCTACATCCAAGAGCCATTTCACAACAATAGTTATGGAATTATCGATAAACATATCCGGACAAGCCTCGAATCAGAGAGACGAGAACTTCCGAAAGTGGAAGGCAGAGAGTTTCGTACCGCAAATACCACGTGATGATGACCCAAAGAAGATGATGGATGAGAAGTTGTACAATTACGCAGAAGAAGACAAATTTGATGAATTATTTGGTGAACTGCGGCGTGTTTCATCAGCGGAACTATCATCCATCATTTACACACAAGTTAGCCCTTCTGGAAATTCATTGCTTCATGTTTCAGCGAGGCATGGAAGTAAAGATGTGACAGAGCTCCTTCTTCAGCACTTTCCGCTTCTAATGACAAGGAAAAACTTCCACAAAGATACTGCACTTCATTTAGCAGCCAGAGCTGGACAGCTGGGAACTATTACAATTCTTATCAACAAGGCAAAAGGCCATGGAGAAGCCAGCGACTTTTCTAGTTTTTTGGAGATGAAGAATGATAGGGGAAACACTGCTTTACATGATGCAGTCATTAATCGTCACCAAGAAGTTGCCCGTTTTCTGGTTTCGGAAAGCTCGAAGCTTTTATATACTGAAAACAATGAACGTAAGTCTCCCTTGTATCTTGCAGTCGAGAATAGCACTGACAAGCCGAGTGATGAGAAGATGTTCACTATTCTTATGGATGCTATACCCGATGATGTTGATTTACTTAACAAGCTAGAAGGAAAGTCTCCTGTGCACGCCGCTATCCAAGGAAGAAAGACAGGTAAAATATTGATTTTTTTTTTATTTCTTCATATATTTTCCCTTGTAACATGCCAGTGTTTCTTTCATTATTTGATTGATTATTCATTTGTTTTAAATTAATTTCAGAAATATTGAAACAAATAGCGAAAGAAAAGCCAGGCCTTTTGCGCCGGAAAGATGAGAAGGGGGGGAATCCACTTCATTGTGCAGCATCCATGGGTTATGTTTGGGAAACTCAATTCCTGTTCGATAAATATCGTGATGGTGCAATCCAGCAAAACGATGAAGGCAACATGCCTATCCATGTTGCTAGCAAAAAGGACCATGTTGATGTAGTTGATGCATACATTTCCAATTGGACTGATGCAACAGAATTTCTCAACAGCAAAAGGCAGAACGTTCTTCATGTCGCCGCTGAGAGTGGAAGGCATCGAGTGGTGAAGTATATCCTACGAAAGAAGAATCTGGAAGCACTTATAAATGAGAAGGATCTAGATGGAAATACACCTTTGCATTTAGCATCAAAGAATGGCCGCTCCATTGCAACATTTACTCTTGCGCGAAACTCTATGGTTATGAAATGCATAGCCAATGGCGAAAACTTGACACCATATGATGTTGCAGAGAAGCAATCTAAAATTGTGGGAGCAGAATACTCAGGTGAACCAATTCCGAACGGGAAGGTATGTTAAGTAATAATTGCAAAATTAAACTACTTCGGCTTAGATGAAAAGGCAGCAACTATTCGAATGCTATACACATCGAATCAGTAGGCTTTTAGCTTAACAGTACTTCTTCAAAATAAAATTTCAAAGTTTTTTTTTCTTTTTTCCTTTTCCTTAAATAATATACATAAACATCTTTCTCCAAATATTCTTGGTGGGTTTTTTCGGTGTAGGACGACCAAGTTGATCAAAAGAGTGAAAACTATGGAGCGAGGCCACCAACAAAGGACAAATCAGATCATGGACTGGTATGCTTTTTTTCTTTCATTCGATCTTTTATGACATAACTAGTTCCATATTCTATTTTTCAGGTTCTTTTTCCTAAAATCATGCCTATAAAACATCTTTTGGTTTTTCAATGTAGGGA